AGGAGTCAGGACGTATTGATTGCTGAATAACACACAGCTTGGGAAGAACCCGAGTGTCTGAAGCAAATCCCTTGCCCCACTGCCCTCAGTTTCCACATCTGTAAAATGTCATCAATAATAATTCTTGAACCTTTACCGTATCAAATATATGCTATACTGGTATGATGTAAGGATTAGATAAATAATAAGATGATAGAACTGGAAGTGATATTAGAGATCATGTAGTCAACACCTACCAGTGAACAATAGCCTGCTTATCAGTTTTGTCCCTAACTTGCCTCTCTCCAGTTGTCCTATGCTTGGTAATAAACTCTGTTGGCCAGGAAAGCAACTTTCTTTCTCCGAGAAAGAAATTCTCTAACCCAAGGACTACATTTGCAGAAATGTCTCCCTTTGTTCAGAACTCAATGGCCTTGTAATAGAACCTGAGTCACCGAATGCCACTCAACTGTCATAGGGGCACAGGATGTAACTCAGTAGGCTGGAGGGCTGGGCCCTGCTCCCAAATAGGAGTAGCCCTGTCCCTGACCCAGCTCTGGCTGTGCCCATAGCCTCAAGAGCTGTGAGCAGGAGTGACCCTTAGAAAGTTCTTCTTGGAAGAAACTTAGTGTTTACCAGGCTGTCATGTAAACCCATTCATTCATCATTCATTCACCTACTCAAAAGCTTTTATTGAAAGTTCATTATTTGCTAAGCCCCTGTGGGCTGATAAGACTACTTCAATGAGTGGGGCCCAGCCTCCAGGAGCCAGCAGTGTCAACACTATTATATGTAGTGGAGCACTGCAGGGGCTGTGAGGGAAGGAGGAAATGGTTGATTTTCCTTGGATGAGGTTCAAGGAATCAGAAAAATGTCATAGAGGAGGTGATACTTGAGCTGAGCTTTGAGAAATAAATGTTATATTTTGGGTGGGGGGAGGGATGTAAGGACATGGCATTCAGATAGAGAGTAAGCTTGGTGTTTGGGGGGAAAAAAGTTTTGGACTTGTATAGCATAAAGAAATAACCACTAAAGATGAGATTAGAAATTTAGGTAGAGATCAATGAAAACATTATAAAACAAGGGACAAGTTTGGACTTTCTTTTTGTGGTTCGTGGGAACCATTGACGAGTTTTAAGCAGGGAATCGGTTGATCCAAACTGCATTTGAGAAAGACGGTTCTGATGGAAGTGTGGAAAGTGGTTTGGAGGATGGGTGGGAAGGAGCAAGATTCAAGGCAAAGAGACTTTAGGAGACCACTACAAGAAGTTAGGTAAGACAAGACAGCCGATCCAGTCTCTTCAACAAGGATAAGGACAAAAGGGAGGGGACTATTTTAGTTTCTAAGAGACTTCAACTACATGCAAAGAGACATGTAACTATTAATACATGCAATGCAATGTTGTGGACCTTCTTTGGATCCTAATTCAAACAGACCAACTGTAAAGAGGAAATTGGGAGAGAGCATATTAGATGATACTAAGGAATTATTGTTAATTTTTCTCAGAGTGATAATGCTATTATGATAGTATAATAAAACAGCATACTGAAGCGTTGATGGGTAGGATGTCATGATGTCTGGATTTGCTCTAAAACATTTTAGAAAAAATAGATATCTGGGTGCTGTGGCTCATGCCTGTAATCCTAGCAGTTTGGGAGGCTGAGGTGGGAGGATTGCTTGAGCCCAGGAGTTTGAGGTTATAATGAGCTATGATCACACCACTGTACTCCAGCCTGAGTGACAAAGTGAGACCCTTTAAAGAAAGAAAGAAAGAAAGAAAGAAAGAAAGAAAGAAAGAAAGAAAGAAAGAAAGAAAGAAAGAAAAGGAAGTGGAGAGAGGAAGGGAAAGAGACTGAGAAGAATGGCCAGAGGGGTAGAAGGAGAACAAGAAAAAGTAATTTCTGGGGCCGGGCGCGGTGGCTGCAATCCTAGCTCTCTGGGAGGCCGAGGCGGGCGGATTGCTCAAGGTCAGGAGTTCAAAACCAGCCTGAGCAAGAGCGAGACCCGTCTCTACTATAAATAGAAAGAAATTAATTGCCAACTGATATATATATAAAAAATTAGCCGGGCATGGTGGCGCATGCCTGTAGTCCCAGCTACTCGGGAAGCTGAGGCAGAAGGATTGCTCGAGCCCAGGAGTTTGAGGTAGCTGTGAGCTAGGCTGATGCCACGGCACTCACTCTAGCCTGGACAACAAAGCGAGACTCTGTCTCAAAAATAAATAAATAAATAAAATAAAATAAAATAAAAAAAGAAAAAGTAATTTCTGGAGAATCTGTCATGAAGAAACAATGGGCCAATTACCCCAGAGTTAAAAATGTTAAGTCTATTGAATTTAGCATCTAAGTGACAACTGACAAAGAAGTTTCAAGAGAGTGAATGTGCTGAAGAGAGAATGAGAGATGAGTAAGTGAAGATGGGGGAGAGCCGGGCTGCATGGTCCTCATAGGAGGAAGGAGTTGACAAGGAGGCTGCCAGAAATGGTTTGCAAATGGGCAAGCTTTAGGTCGAATAGGATGATCAGTAACCTCTGCACAAGAAGTGGATTACTGAGAGACAAAACAAGTTTTAGCTAAGGCAAGGAGGAGAAAGGTGCACTCTGTTACAGAGATGACGAATATAGGAAAGTTCACAGTGAACCAAGGGTTCCAGAGAGCAGGTTTTAGCTAAGGCAGAGGGAGTTTGAGGTTGCAGTGAGCTATGATGATGCTGCAGCACTCTCCAAGGCAACAGAGCAAGACCTTGTCTCAAAAAAAATTAGATAAGCATATGAAGTATATTTATCTGAGCATTATTATAATATCGATATGGATTGGCTAATAAAATTATGATATATTCAAATAATGGAATATTATGTAGTCCTTAAAATGATAAAGTAGATTTATATGCTACTTGTTATGAACACATGTATCAGAGTGCTAGAAATATTGGGATTATAATAATATCAGATGATTTTACAAAACTAAGGCAAGACTTATAAGGACTACGAAATGGAGCCAATGAGTTGGAAGCAAGAACATCATTCAGTAACTGGTAGGAGGTAAACTGTTCACTCAGGAAGAACTTCAAGATTTCATTGAATTTCAGATACCATTAGTTGTAAGATGCTTCCTGATTTCAGAGATGTTGAAATCTGAAAAAAATGTATGTTAGAATCAATCAAATACAATGTGTTTAGGGGCAGAAATTTGTGCTTGAGGAAGAGTGGGATGCTGGATAGGACATCATCAGATTATCAGATAAACTCAAGAGAAGCATATTGTAGCTCATAGAACAAAATTATTTTACACTTAGCGAAAAGGAGTTAGTGAAAGACAGCCAACACAGCCACAAGAACATGCATCGAAGATTAATTCTGTAACTAAAAGAAGCAAGCATCTCTCCCTACTAATTTGGACACTATATATTTGGTAACAGTGAGTGTTAATTGACTTACTCCTGTGAGGTTTATTTCTCTATTTTTTCTTAAGTGAAGGCTGGGCTTGTAATTTTCAATTCCTCCTTCCAGTTTTAAGCAGTTTAGCAACCAAAGAGAGATAAAAAGGTATAGGAACAATGGATTGTTAGCACTCAAAGAGAAGGATCAAAATGTCTACATTTTTCATGTAAACAGAACATAGAGAACTCAAGACTCTCTTAAAGGATGTTCTGGATCTCTTCCCATCTTGTTCAAAGCTTTCAGTAAGCATTATTCTGTTACGTGAAATTCAACCAGTTCTATCAAAGCTGTCTCACAAGTTAGGAATTTGACCAGCTGTCCATGGGAAGTAGGCTAAAAAATGTCAAGCAGTCTCTTCTCTCTCTCTCATACACACACACTCAGATGTTAGCACTTAGCAATATACCATATATATACTATTTACTCACATAGCTTGTTTCTTATTTTCAGTTATTATTGTCCTCCATAAATGGGGAGCATTAAGGAAGGCAAATTGTTCTTAGTTATTTCTGTGATTCACAGTAAGTTCAAGGTGAGCCCAGGCCTGCTGCCACCAGCAACTGCTGTATCCAGAACATCACCATAAAGTCCTCCCATTTGAAGTAGTTACTGACCACAGACAGAGGGACTTGATCGAAAAGCACAGCTGTGGCTCTAGGCAAAATACACTGGTAAATAAATTACCTCATAGGATGTCAGATCTAGAAGGAAACCTAAAAACCATCTAAGCCTTGAAATTCCTAACCTTTGATAAATAACAAACTCACCTTAGGAGCTCTTAAAATATCTATGGGGTGGGGATCCAGGGTGATATATTTTTCAGAAAGCTTCACAGGAGATTCTGCTATACATTAAAGATTGAGAATCACTTGGGAAGCTGAGGTGGGAGGATGGCTTGAGCCAAGGAGTTCAAAACCAGCCCGGGCAATGAAAAGACTGTGAATCACTATTCTAATCTGTAGAGATGAGATCTTGCTATGTTGCCCAGGCTGGTCTCGAACTCCTGACCTCAAGGAATCCTCCACCTCAGCCTCCCAAAATGCTAGGATTACAGGCATGAGCCACCTTGCCTGGCTTCTAATCCCACTCTCTGTATTTTTCAGACGGTAGCCTGTGGCCCAGAGAGATTGCTGGCTTGCCCAAGACCACGCACTTAGATAAAAGCAGAATCAAGACCAGAATTCAAACCTCTTTATTCCTGGATCAGAGTCTTTTTTCTTTTTTCTTTTATTTATTTTTTTTCTTTTTAATATAAGCAGGAATACAGAATTTTTTTTTCTTTTTAATATCTTTTTTCTTTTAAATTAGAGACAGGGTCTTGCTCTGTTGCCCAGGCTGGACTGCAGTGGCACGATCATAGGTCACTATAACCTTGAAGTCTTGGGCTCAGGCAATCCCACCACAGCCTCTCAAACTGCTGAGATTACAGGTGTGAGCCACCATGCCTGGCCTCAGAATCCTTATTCTTGCACTAGCATCTTGCCCCACTGACTGTTATCAAAATATTTACTATTATTTATTCCTGATATATTTGAAAATCTATAGTTTAACCATTCATTATTTAATAACAAAATCGTGGAGTTGGAAAATGTTAGCTGTTATGAAAGAAGCCAGTCACAAAAGACCACATATTATATAATTTCATTTGTATGAAAAGTCCAGAACAGGCAGCTCCATAGTAATAGAAACAGATTAATAATTGCCAGGAGCCAAGGGGAGGGGATGGAAATGGACACGGTTTCTTTTTGAGGTGATGAAAATGTTCTAACATTGATTGTGGTGATGATTGCATAACTTTGTGAATGTACTAAAAACCATTGAATTGTATGCTTTTAAAAGGTGAGTTATATGGTACATACATTTTATCTCAATACAGCTGTTAAAAAAAACTAGCACTTCTCACTGGATTTTGAAAGATAACTTATAGTTTTCACTTCATTCTTCAACATTTCTCTAAAATAAGTAGGCAGGTGCTCTTTTTGGCAGCACATAGACTAAAATTGGAACAATTCAGAGATTACCATGGCCCCCATGCAAGGATGACATGCAAGTTTGTGAAGTGTTCCATATTAAAAAAAGAATTTTTAAAAAAAGCAGGCAGTCTTCGGCTGGGTCTTCTGCCTAAACTTAGTTCTCCCTTTTTAGGTCTACTTCCCTGCTCCCTGCACCCACATCAGCAGATTATCTTCCCAGAGCTCCCCAGAGCTCGGCTGGCATTTAGGATCCTCCTCCCTTGCACCAGCAGACTCTGCCTTTGCCAGCATGGTTCCCTCCACTGAGAAGGCCAATTTATTTGTGTGTTCAGGGTCCAGATCATACGTACCTCTCCAAGGACCTTTCCTTTCCACCTCACTGGCAGTGGTCTGCCTTCCAGAATATAAGAGGTGACATTTTGACCATGTTTTGATGCCACATTGCAAGGGTCATTAGTCTTCTATCCTGGAATCTGTGGGCCCTCACCACTCACTAGTGACCCCTTTCACCAAGTTAATGCCACAATTTTCCTTATGGTAGCATCAAAGTCCCTATCTGTTATTTTGTTTGTTTTTTGCTTTCTTCTGCCCACTGTGCTATCCTTCCTCTCCTCTTTTTCCTGTCTCCTCACTTCCACCCACTACCATCCCTTCCCTTCATACCTGGTTAACTCTTGCTGAATATTCAGGACTCTGGAAAAATGCCATCTCTCCCAGGAAGGCTTCTTGACACTTCTCCTTACTCTTAGGATCCTGGCTGAACTAACATAATAGCAAGGGAAATGTAGAGAAATAAACAAATTTGAAAAATATTAAGGAGACTGATTTGGTAGAACTGGCTAATGTGAAATAGATATAAAAATAAATAAATCCTAAAGATCAAGCAAAATAAGCAGTGAATTTGAGAATATGAATTGATAACAATTTAGAGTAATTTCATATGTTTTTTTCAAGCTTGATGTCACCGGCTATTTTAATCAGATGGAGTCTCTGAATCCTGCCAAACACATTTTCCTTAAACATCCCTTTTATAATACTGCTTTATTGATTCAGGGCCTTTAATGACTCCCTCTTTGCTAATGCACCAAGCCTAAACTCTGCCTTGCTTTAAAGGCTTTCACAGCTGGCCTAGCCCTTCCCATCAGCTCCACCCCTGCTGTGTCAGGCTGGTTGCTTCATCATCCAGAACAAGGTCTTGCTCATTCCTGCTTCTAGCACTTTTGCCACCTCCTCACCTGCAGCAGTACTTACCCTATGCACATCTCAGGACCATTCAAGGCTCAGCTTCAAGGTCATTACTCCATGAAATCCTGCCTGGCTAGTCCATGCCTCCCTGTGCCTTTTGAACTTCTGAAACATTCAGAGTTGACAGCATCCAATTTAGCACTTAATTATATATGCTCATCTTACATAGTTTTTTGTTGTTTTAATGTGTGTTAGTCATGTTAACTCCAACTAGCTTATAAATTTATTAAGCGCAGGAACCATAATTTATACTTAAGATCATAAATTCTGGAATCAGACTATGCTTAAGGCCTGGCTCCTCTTCTTGTTAGTTATGTGGCATTGGGCAAATGGCTTAACCTCTCTATGCTTTAGTCTCTAAAATTTAAAGTGGAGATAATAAAAGTACCTATCTCATAGTGGTGGCTACAGGACTAAATGAGGCAATTCACATATACTGCTCAGCAGACGCTCGGCACATTGTAATAACTCAGTAAATAGTGGCTATTATTATTATCCCCCGCCACATTGCTTAGCATGTCATCAAACGGTGAATAGATGCCTAAAAATTAATTTTTGCTGATTTAGTGGGCTGTGTATATCTCTTTTAGATGTCTAAGAGTCAGAAACTCTGGGGTTGAGGCAAAAGGGGTGTATTTGTACAGATGATAATTATTTTTAAATGTTCATATGGATAGTTTTCTGCCCAGATGCTGAGGAGCATGTCACCATTGCCCCCATGTCTTCACCTGGCTCCTGGAGCTCAGACGAGGAATTGGAAGGATTATTTCTCTCACTTCATATGGACCAGAGATGAGCATTAGACTGCAAAATGGAACCGAGATGCCTAGGGTATTCTGGGTGCTAAGTACTAGCAATCTGCTAAGAATTCATACAAAAGAATCCCTATTTGTGTAGTTTTCTGTTTTTGAATGCATGTACCTCAAAGAAACAAACATAAATTACTGTGCTGGCTGTTGATAGTTGAGGAAACAGTATGTCTCATAGAGTACAAGGCAATAATAAAGGTGAGAATAAGATAATGAAAGACCTAAGGCTGAGCTCTAGATAGACACGTTATTATATTTTATATTATACCAATTACCATGCTTGCCCTTCCCCCTAAGTACTCTACAAACTAAATGGTATCAACCAGATTATCTGGAAGAGCCAAAGCTTTGAGTCCTATGGGGTCCCTGGACTGCATCCTGGTAAAACCCTTGTTACTCAGGTTACTATGGAGAAAACCAATTATTGTTGCTGGTGAGGAATGAGACTGTCAGAGCCCATAATACCTTGATGGCCTTTGGACGTGCATAGGATCCATGTCATCATAAAAGATAGTAAAATGCTGGCCGGGCGCGGGCGGCTCACGACTGTAATCCTAGCACTCTGGGAGGCCAAGGCGGGCAGATTGCTCAAGGTCAGGAGTTCGAAACCAGCCTGAGCAAGAGCGAGACCCGTCTCTACTATAAATAGAAGGAAATTAATTGGCCAACTAATATATATATAGAAAAAATTAGCCAGGCATGGTGGTGCATGCCTGTAGTCCCAGCTACTCAGGAGGCTGAGGCAGGAGGATTGCTTGAGCCCAGGAGTTTGAGGTTGCTGTGAGCTAGGCTGACGTCACGGCACTCACTGTAGCCGGGGCAACAAAGTGAGACTCTGTCTCAAAAAAAAAAAAAAAAAAAAGATAGTAGAATGTGAATTGCTTTGAAAATAAATTCTATAGGATTATTCTTCTTCTATTATATTTAAATATCATATTTTCCAAATGAAAGATTAAAAAATAAGACCAAGAGCTGGTTGAAAAGTGTAATGGAATTATTATATTAGGAAGTAAAGATACAAGCCATCAGGCCAGGCGCAGTGGCTCCACGCCTATAATCCTAGCTTCTGGGAGGCAAGGTGGGTGGATTGCTCGACGTCAGGATTCGAAACCAGCCTGAGCAAGAGCAAGACCCGTCTCTACTATAAATAGAAATAAATTAATTGGCCAACTAACATATATAGAAAACATTAGCGGGCATGATGGCGCATGCCTATAGTCCCAGCTACTCGAGGAGCTGAGGTAGCAGGATGCTTGAGCCCAGGTTTGAGGTTGCTGTGAGCTAGGCTGATACCACGGCACTCACTCTAGCCTGGGCAACAAAGTGAGACTCTGTCTCAAAAAAAAAAAAAAAAAAAAAAAAAAAAAAAAAGATACAAGCCATGGAGGCTAGAAGGCAATAGCACTGAGTCACAATCCCACCTGCTTTATGGTTGTCTTTGTCCAAAACCTCTTCAAGTGAGGGACGAAGGGCCGTAGTCATCAGGCAAGGTGGGGTCTGATGTGGTGGGAGGCCAGGGGTGCCATAAGAAGAACAAGCACACCCAGCTTCCAGCCTGGTTCCGCCAACACCTGGCTCTGCCTCATTGGACAAGCCACTCTGCTTTTCTGGTCTAAGATTCCTTATCAGTAAGATGACCAGTGAGGGACAGGGAAATCACCTCTAAAACTCTTCCAGCACCGGCATTTTATGATTCCATTGAGTCTAACAAATCTATGCATTATTCTGGGTTTTAGATTACTGTTTCCCTTAAAAATCAATCTTTCTCTTGCCCTTCTTTCTTTCCCTTCCAGCATGCATGCTCTGTCCCTCTTTCAGTTCAGAATTTCAGAAATGTTCCTAAGCCTAAATATATTGGTTACAAAAATGTGCTCCTTACATTTTTTCCCCTGGAGGTGTCTGGTAGGCATTTGCTGAAAGCTTGAATTTAAATTTGTAGTTTCAAAGGATCAGGGGGGAGGATGATACTGAATGCGTGGCCATGTGGAGCTGTCTCAAGGCAGTTTCTCTAGTGGGCCGAACAGTAGTTCCACACAACACTGACGAATATACTGCCTCTCTATTTCCCTTCTAATGCTTCCTTACAGTCTCCGTAACTGTTCTAAACCACGAGGGGTCTTTCAATGCAGTCCTCTGACATAATTTCTAAGCAAGCAGTCAGCATAAAAAAGGACTAGGTCAGCTCTCTTTGTGTGTCAGTGCTTGGCAGCACAGTTCCTCTGGGATGTGTCTCCTGGCATCCACCCAGCCTATCGACAATAAAAGCTTCTCTTTGTGCTTCCAGTAAGGCACAAATAAATCTCCTCTGTCCCACCTGTTTTCTGAGAAGAGCTGCAACCATGCCCTTTATCTTAGGTTCAAAAAAGAGACACTATTGCTACTTTAGAGAAATAGTTTTTAAATGTCCACTAAGCAATTGTTCCTTTTCACTGTTCCCTACTCCCAGTATTCAGATGTGTAATTTGAGTTACAGCCCCTTTAGCTACCAGGTTCTGAGACTGGACTGCTTTCCCACTTTGTGCTAATTGCCTTTTTGAAGCTGCCCATCCCTAAGTAATCCTCTTGTGTATTAAAATGTTAGTTAAGGAAGGAATGGCTCATCCTCTGAGCAGCAGGGAAGGCAAACCCTCTGCTGGGACACCACCACACAAGGGGCAGGGATGGTGTCCTGCCTGGCTATGGCTTTAGGAACTCTAGTAACTGTCCCCAAAAGGTGAGAGGGCCAGGATTATATGGTCTCTGGGGAAGTACCAGCCACCAGACCAGTATTAAAGGAAGAGTAAAATAGAGTTCTTATTTAGCCGCATAAGAAAACAGTTAACCTCAGTTGCAGTCCGAACAGATTGGATTTCTTCCGACATTTCTCATCAAAAAAATACCTCTGAAACATCAGGCCTCATATTACTGTTCTGAGGTAAACATTAATCCTATTTTCTAGCAAGCTATAGAATAAGGTCAAGCACATTATTTTCTATTGCAGTCAATGCTGGAATTAAATCTGCTGAATCTAGTCTCAAAACTCCATAAATGAGTCATTTCAGATGACTCATCATTGAGTTCATATGAGCAACATGTTTCCTGGGGCATTAAAAATTGAAGAAGAAATGTTTCCCTCTCACATTCCGCTGGCCATGAAAGAGGATTGGAAAGACCAGATGTGAATAGTATCAGAAAAAGTCTCCTATCTGAACTTTGGTCCCTTTAAAAGAAAATAGATTCCTGTGTTTGTCCATACTTCCCCTCTCTTGTAATACCAACCTCTGCAAGAGAACTTTGCACATATTCCCACAATTCAGACAAGTTGTTCACATTTTTAAAAAATTATGAAATATTTTATATAAACATAGGATTATAAGCAATATAAAAAAAATCTAAAGCATAATTATAAAACCAATATCCATGAACTTACCATCCTCTCAAGAACTAGAATGTTACAAACTGATGGAGCTCCTGTGATCCTTCCTACACAGCATCCCACCACTCCCCCACAGAAGAATGTATTTGTTATTCTCTTGCTTTTCTTGATAGTTTTGCTACATATATATATGTATCCTTGGACAAATGTATTTAGTTTTGTTTGTTGTCTGTATTAGTTTGTCAGGGTGGCTGTAATGAAGTACTACAAACTGGGTGTCTTAAACAATAGACATTTATTGTCTCACAGTTCTGGAGGCTAGAAGTCTAAAATCAAGGTGATTAAGACTTCAATATCCTCAGAAAAAGAAAGTAAAATAAAAAAAAGATAAAAAATAAATAAATAAATAAATAAAATCAAGGTGTTGGTTCCTTCTGAGGGCTGCGAGGGAAGGATCTGTTCCAGGCTTTTCTCCTTAACTCGTACATGGCCATCTTCTCCGCGTCTGTCTTCTTTCTATGCATGATTGTACCTCTGTCCAACTTTCCCCTTTTCATAAGGACACCAGTCATAATGGATTGGGGTCTACCCTAATGACTTCATTGTAACTTAATTACTTCTGTAAAGACCCTGTCTCCAAGTAAGGTCACATTCTGAGCTACTGGAGGTTAGGACTTCAACATACAAATTTTGGCGGACACAGTTCCTTACATTGTCACAAATAGTTTCTCAAGAAAACAAACTCTGAAATGGAGTTTAGCATGCATGATGGTTATCAAGTCTTGTCCTTGGGATCAACATCTAGGGAAAGGAGGGAAAGGAAGCAGGATAAGGCAGAGGGAAAGTCAAGTTGTAATGCAGGCCCAACAACTGTCTTGGCTGACCCTAAAGGGGTCTCTGAAGCAACGATGGCCCTTCAGACTTGTGCCAAGCTGTGCTAA